TTTTCGAGCCCCTTTTAAATTGAACCTCAACAAAATTTGCTAAATAAGGTTTAGGTGCAATTTTGTTCATTTTGAATCTTGCAGAATAGTCAATAAAATCATGAAAATCATAAAGGCTCATTTCAATCATCTCTACCCTTGAACTATTTGATTTTTTGACACACGTTTGAAAATCCTCGAAATCTAATACTTTTCCTGTTTGTTTTAAAGACTTTTCCACTGGGAAAGAGTCAGCGGACATGAAAGTGTGGTCAGTTTGTAAATATTTTAATTTTAATAAACTTAGATTTACTTCTAACGAGTTAATAATAAAAACAAAAGAGCAATATAAGGCCTAATTTTTGTTATGCGAAGCGCAGTTATTTAGCCAAATTGTTATTTCTTTAACATCACGGTGAAACAACAGGAATTTGTAAAAGGTTGATATTAGATCAGATTTACTTCTTCAATGCCAAACAAGAGCGACCGGCTTATTTGCAAGGAATTGCTTTCCCAGAGCCGCAAAACTTTCGTTAAAACACATGATCCTTGATGTAAAAATGATTCCTTTAAACATTTCACAGTTATTTCTTTAAATTCACTTTATTATACTAGTGATATAATAACCACCTTTTGCAAGTCTGCAGAAACAAATAATGATTCAGATCATCTTTTGTAGATACGTCATTTTTATATTCAGTTCTCGCTTCTATGGCATTTTTATAGCGACTTTTCCATTTTTGGCAATCATCGCAGTCGGAATCAGTATTTTCTTTATCATGTTTTAAGTTTTTGGAGTGAAGGTTGAATGTTTCGCATTGCCTCACTACTCATTCATCTCAGCTACTTGTTGGCGGTAAAATTCGTATGAAACTTTCATTTCGGGGTACTTTTGTAGAAAATCTGCATGCAATTATTTATTGTTAATATCACTGGGCACATATTTTCGATTTGGGGCGTGTTTCCTTCTATAAGGCGATATGCTTGGATTAAAAGAATTAATATGACAAACTACGTGTTCTCTGTCAATTTTTTTCTGAGATGGATGCCCTGTCTTTAATTATTTGACAAACATACATTGCGAATCAGTTTGATTCAGAACACCTCTAACTATTCTACCGTTATGGACTTGATAGCCCAAAACTGGCAAAAAAAATGTCTTGCAAACTCTTCCATCATTCCCTGTATTAGCTTTTAAATAGTGGTTAATTCTATTACTTCCTCTGGAGTCTCCATCTTCAGTTTTCCTTTTTTTATCGATTTTTTTTAACGTGGTAAAGATAAACTGACGCTGTTGTTCATGGGTCATTTGCCAGAATTCTTTATTTATAGCATTTTGTCTCCATATGTCAATTGCTTGAGTGCATTTTTTTGCACAATTTTCCTTACATGTTTCTTGCACGTCATGCTGTGCAATTTTTCCTCTCTTTTCAGTTTCTTTCTTTCCTGTAATGATTTGCTGTAACTTTTCCGTTTTCGTAGAATTTTGGTTTAGCCTGCCATGTAAATTATTAGCTCTATATGTGGGCATTTTTTGAGCTAATTCCTTGTTTAGGGCCAGTAAAACTAACATTTGAGTGTGAAATAGTTAAATATAAGATACTTGCCTTGTTCGCTATATCAACAGAATATTAAAATACCATAAACAACAAAATAGCTCTAATCACACTTGCATACACGTCATACGGCAAAAAGACTCAATAATTATTATCAATATGACTTTTTGATCATTACGACTTAGTACAGATACCCAGCCAAAATGTCGTAATTGAAATATTTTTAATCCGATACGACAATATGACTTGGTAATTATCAATACGGCTTTTTGAGCTGGTAACTGGTAGATTTTTGCAGATAGGACATATAAATATCATTGAAAAACCGTATTCTAAAGGTGATAAGTAAAGCAAACTCTGTTATACCAGTATACCGCATAAGCTGAAAAAG